TTTTTTTGAGACGCTCAGACGGAGGGGCATTACACAAAATTGATATTGGCTGAGTGCTGCTAGTAGTAGCTAACATTTATAGCTATTTTCGAAGTGGCACACATAACCGTGTAGAGACTACAATCGAAAATTGGCAAAAATCACAAATTTTTTACAGTTTTTTTTTTTTGAGACATTCAGGTGTCGGGGCTTTACCTACACAAAAATAAATTTGATTTATTGTTAGTGATAGTAGCTAACATTTTTTTTTTAAAAAGTCGTGATTTTTGCCAATTTTCGATTGTAGTATCTACGCGGTTTTTTGTGCCACTATGCAAACAACTTTTAATGTTAGTTACTACTACCAGAAATCTACTAAAAGAAATTTTGTGTGATGCCCCGCTCTTTGAGTGTCTCAAAAAAATTAAAAACTCGAGAAGAAGAAGCAGTCGCGATTTCTCAGATATCTGCCAATTTTCCATTGTAGTCTCTTCACAATTGTTTGCGTCACTTTGAAAATAGCTATAAATGTTAGCTACTTCTACCAGAAATCTACCAATAGTGTAGGAAAAAAAAGACAAAAATTTGAACGAACCCAGACATTTGAAATAACATTGAAATCCCAAAATTCCCGAAAAATCTATCTTGGGGAAAATCCGCTATCTGTCCGCATTTTGTCATTGGAACCTTTGTTTTAGAAAAGGACTTCATATATCCGTAAGGAAAATGAGAAAGGTCATATTCCAACACATTGCTTCTTATGACAAAAACTAAAACATATGAATATAGGTATTTTTTTTCTCGAAAACTGTTAGAGATTACCCTATAAAACTTTATATCACTCTTCTTCATCTTCTTCAAGTGTCTTGTCCTCTAGAAACGTTGCCAATCACCAGCGCTATCTGTACTTTTCGACTGCTTTCTGATAGACTTGTGGTTTCGCCATACCAGTGACGCAAATTCTTTAGCCAAGATATTATTCGATGTACAGGGCCTCTCCTGCCTTTTATTTTTCCTTCGATTATGAGCTTGAGAAGTAGTTTTTTGTCATTCCTGAGTATGTGTCCACGCCCCAATCCCATAATAGAAAATACTGAAGACGTATCAACGTATTACTTAAGTGCGAACGGAGAGACCCTCGGAGAGACCTGACTACACAACACGGACTTCATTTTTACAAATGATGCTCTGGCTTGTTCAATCCTGGCACGAACCTCCTGCATATTATTCCAGTCTTTATTAGCCTGACATCCAAGGTATCTGTATGATTGGACCCGATTTATCTGTTGGTTCTGTACCTTAAGAATAGCTCCTCCAACCAGTTCTTACTAATTACCATTCATTTAGTTTTTTTGTCGTTTAATTTTAATCCAAATTCAGTAGCCAAATGATCAAGTAATACTTGAAGAACTTTCAGAAAATCAGCGACTAAAACCGTATCGTCGGCATACCGAAGATTGTTAATGTTCACGCCGTTGATAAAAATTCCATCAGTGCAGTCTTCATATGCTTTTTCAAACATTTTGTTCGAATAAATGTTAAAAAGTAATGGTTAAAGGATGCAACCCTGCCGGACACCTCTTTATCCGTACTTCGTCAGATATTTGCTGGTCTACCTTGATTTGTGCAGTATGACTCCAGTAGAGACTTGCAACTATCTTGAATTCTGTATCATCTAGGCCTACATCCTTGAGAATTTTCATAAGCTTCTCATGTTGAACCCTGTCAAACGCTTTTTCATAGTCTACGAAGCATGTGTATACAGGAACAGGAACCTCTCTTTGTGCCAAAACCGTTACGAAAACTAGATTGGGATTCAACGGTGAAGGACTCGCACTTTGCGTATATTCTTTTATGCACGATCTTAGGAAAATCTTGAGAAAGTCTCTCATCAAGCTAACAAGCCGATAATCGCTACCACATACTTTTGCAGAGCTTTTCTACAGAAGCGTCACAAATGTTGAAATAAGTCAGCCAGAGGGAATGACGCACGGCCGGTAAACCATATTGAAAAGCTTCACCATTGTGTGTAGTGACTCTTCATTTGTTAGGATTTTAATAAGTTCTGAGTGGACACCGTCTGGACCTACCACTTTCCTGTTTTTGTATAACTGAATGGTGTGTTGGACTTCTTCCTTAGTGGTTATATCTAGTCCTCGTGAATACTCTTCAGGAATGTCCGATCTCTCGGCCTGAAACAGGATTTTGATTTAGCTGCAGCACTGTTTTACTTTGTCGTTGACATCAAGAATTATCTTACCTTGACTGTCCAACAGAATGCCGGTCTGTCGAAGTTTGTATACACCAGTAGCTCCTTTAATTTTCTCAAGCATATTTAAACTGTCATATTTTGCTTTGAGGTTTTCGATTTCCTCACACCGTTTGTTTAGCCAATTTTCTTTAGCTACTCTGACTTTGTTTTTTTATTTCACGATTCAACTGGAGATATGCTGGCTGGGTCTTTCTGCAGACGTCTTTGCTTTATCGAGTCAAGCGGATTTTGATCCGAATTTATATCTGCTCCAGGGTAAGTCTTTGAAAATTTGATGCAATATCATTCGAATCAGCAAAAACAGAGCTATCCAATAAGTAACTTATACAGCGTGGCAAAAAGAATGGAACACCTACAGGGGTTCGAAAACTTTCTTTTTTGAAAAATCGCTCGGACCCGTCAATTTTATTTTTAAGCTGCGCATTTTTTGGAAAAAAAAAACATTATACAGGGTGTCCCAAAAATGGTGTTACTTACATCAACTTTGCCAACCCTTTATATTACTGCATTTTTGGATTCTACAAAAAATTATGGAAATATTTTATGTATAATTTCATATACCTATCTTTAACTGTTTCGGAAATACTGACAGCTGAAAATTGATTTTTTTGCAACTTTGACAAGCTGCAAAACGTAAACGGTTAATTTTAGAGCAGATTGAATTCAAAGTTGGTGTAAAATGATGATATGGAATATGGAAAACTTAGACAAGACAGGAATGTATGATCGGTTTTGCTCTAAAATTAACCGTTTAGGTTTTACAGCCTGTTAAAGATGCAAAAACGTCAATTTTCAACTGTCAATATTTCCGAAACAGTTGAAGATAGAATCCAAAAATGCAATGATATACAGGGTTGCTATTTAAAATAATAAAGTTGATGCAAGTAACACCATTTTTGGGACACCTTGTACTTTTTTTTTCTCCAAAAAATGCGCAGCTTAAAAATAAAATTGAGCGATTTTTCAAAAAAAAGATAGTTTTCGAACCCTCTTAGGTGTTCCATTCTTTTTGCCCACGCTGTATATGGGGTGTCTCATTAAAAAAAATCGGACCCGATATCTCGAAATCGGGGCCAAATAGAAAAGCACTGAGAATATCACTGGATTCTGCTTGAAAAACTGCTTTTAGAGAGTTTGGCGTTTGTTCTATTTTTTTCAATAAAATAATAGATATTCACAATACAAGTGGAGTTAACAGCATATTTAAGATACGCGTGTGGATTATTGTGGAAGTTGCACAACGAGTGCGTAGCACGAGTTGTGTATCTCACTGACTTAGATAAATAGGTATATATTATTATTATGTGTTAAATACATATATTATCATTTCCAATATCTCCGATGTTGCAAAGATTGCGAAATCTGTGATTTTTTTTTTCTATTTATTTCTGCTTTCTTTTCGTCTTTTGTTTTTGATCTTTGCTTGCTCATGTGTCTCTTTATACAATCATATTTTCTCTGTCTCATTTTCTTCCTTAGCACTTTGTGTGTTTTTGCTAATTGTCTGTGATTGCTATGTTAGCCCATTTGTTTATTTTTGTCACTTGTTAATTGTTTATCGTATGTTACTGTCCCAGATAAATCTCAAGGTCGCCATACTCCAATCTTATTTAACCTCGGATTTGACTCGGATAGTCCAAGCTGCATACTTTCTTGACGTGTTGCGCGTCTTCTGTCGCAATCTGATTGCACGTGCATTGCGCGTCGGATTCTTTCAGGTTGAAATTTAGGATGTGTTTGAAGTTTCCGTTGCCTGTTAACAGTTGTGTAGCTTTGGAACTAAGCTGAATGTCAGTCCATCCCTACTTCTTGGCAGTGTTTGTACAACTCTCTGCCCTTATCTTTCTCATCCCATGTCCTTTGCCATTGGATTGTAGTTTTTTGCTCTCGTTCCTTCTCTATTGTGTATCTGCCCATGTGTAGACAGGTCTGCAGGTTCCTGCCTGATTCGGGACTTTATAGGGTAATCTTGGCCAGCCTGTCTTCGGCTTCGTTCCCCGTTATATTTGTCTTGTTCTAGAGTCTCTTTCGTTAACTTGTCTTTTATTTTATGTTTCATAATTTGCGATATAAATCAAGAATTGGGGGCCTGCTGGCCTTGAATTTTTTGAATGCATTTTCATAGACATAACCGGACATCGTTGGTAATAAATTGTCTACGGTACCGGCGGCAATTTTCGCTACCTCAGGGGGCGTACAGTCGAATTCCGAGTCTGACATTCTAATCTAGAATATGCATGGGTATTTTAACTGTTGAAAGCGAAAAGAATCAGAAGGATAATAATCAAATACTCACACTTGAATTGGAAAGATGATGATGAAAGTACAGAAATCAGAAATGGAATGACAATGTGTCAACATAACAATATTATTATAATAAAAGTAACGCAATAATTAACATTTATCACCAAGTTCGTGGATTGTTCCATAACAAATACTTGAGGAAATTGGGATTTTTCATTGTCATTTAAATATAAATTTATAAACGTTTGAAGAAAAAATATCGTGTTCTATTCGGAGTAAAAGCTTTTGTGACGAGCCTGTAAGTTTGCCTGCTGAACGCAGTGAGGCCGGCAATACAGACGATACTTTGACTCCTAATAAAACAATATACTTTGGTCGCTATCAGTATAACAATATTTCTTTGTTCAATTCTGAATTCAAATGAAGCCAGTCGATTCATTTTTCTACATATTCATAATTTTTTTATTACAAGGTTCAGCAACAAATATATATTTTTCTTTTTCAGTTACTCGAATTGGCAGGTAATGCCAGTTTAGACTTAGAGGTCAAAAGAATCACCCGTCATAATTTGAAGTGTGCGATGAAAGAGGACAAGGAAATCGACTGTCTTATCAACTTTACACCTTGGCTGCGTTAATGAGAAATTTGTAATTTCACATTTAAATTTGGTTAGTTGATAAGTTGTACATGTTTATGAAGTTTCTTGTGTGCCTTGTTCTATTATTTAAAATTAAGTTTTTGATAATTAAAATTTGATTTAGTTTTCTTCAATGTAAAAGTCTGTGTTAAATATATTAAAGATTTTTTATAAAATAAAAAAAATTAATCTTTTATTACTAGTTAGTGCATGAATTTTGAAAAAATAACTGCAAGGTGAAAGGTGTGAACTAGTTTGAAAATTCCTGAAAAATTACTTATACCTTGTAGGGATTGTTTGAAATGTGAAGGAGGTAGACAGAAACCTAAAGCATATTTGAGAATATTTTTTCCAGCCAAATTAGATCTGGGAGAGTCACTACAGGGAAAGTCGATAATTTGTTTGAAAATTCGTTGAAAATTAAACATGCTCTGTAGGGATTCTCTTGAATTTGAGGAGGATAGACACAACTAAGCACATTCAAGGATATTTTCTGCAGTCAAGTTAGGTCTGGGAGACTGACGACGGGGGAAAGTCGGTAATTTGTTTGTGAATTCGTAGGAAATTAAATATGCTTTGTAGGGATTTTCTGGAATTTCAGGAGGATAGACACGAACCCGCAAGCACATTCGAGGATAATTTCTTCAGTCAAGTTAGATCTGCGAGAGTCGCTACAGGAGAAAGTAGATAATTTGTTTGAAAATTCGTAGAAAAATAAATATGCTTTCTAGGGATTTTCTAGAATAGAGCTAGGTATTCACAACCCTAAACCACATCCGAGGATATTTTCACGGATTCCGGGTTCACTAAAACTTATCTAGAAAAATCTGGCGCCGTACATGAATAGAATTCTCCGAATTGTTTACGCGACGCGCAGAAATTGCAATGCTTAGAATCCGGCCAGGCTTCCGAGGCAACACCTGCCTCCCTCTCTCAAATCAGATCATCCTGATCTGACTACCAAGACGCACGACGCACCATATCCTCTTCTTCGTCTATATCTCCAATCAGATCCATAATGAGTTGATCTTTTTTCTTGGCTAATATCTCTTTATCTGTCTCAGGGGACTGAGACCTGAACGCAGCGCCTTAGACCGCTCGGCCTTTGTGACTTCCCACATCTACCATAATGTATGCATGAATTGACGTCATGGATACTAGATGGATAGTTCCCTGTCGATTGCTTCTGAAATCCTTTCGCATTTCTGTTGCTGCTTCCAGATAGGCCAAATTAACCAGACGGCGCTTATCGGTTTCAAATTCTTGTAGGCTTTTTTTTGTCTCTCTGGGTTGAGCTGCCTTCGGTATTGATCTTCATAACGACGCTCTAACGAATCGACAAGCGCACCATAGTATTGTCGGAAAGCTGGCGAAAGAGACTCTAATACCTCTAAGGCAGGGCCACGTAATGCTACAATCAACCCTCTGCAAACATGTCATCGGAGAGGTCCAACCATTAGCCATTGCAATAGTCTCGAATTGACGTCTGTACATGGCCTACGATGTCTGTCCGTCGTTTGGTGGTGGCGTAACTTTCATACCAGGTGCGAGCAAGGCCAAGACATTTTCCTGACCTCAAGTCACATTCAAATCTTCTTTTGAATACTATCCATTCCTTGGAGAACAGTTCCAACTGCCTGATGAACAGTTTCAACTTTCTGATGAACATTCCCAACTTCCTGATGAACTTCGTGAAGAACACTTCCAACTTCTTCGCGCGTACTTCTTCCATTGCATTCGTGAATTTATATCTTGTACTTCCAGAATTTTTGCCAGTCGTGTTTGTTCCTCAGAGATTACAGTTTGCATCCATTCACGCTGATGTTTAAAATTTTTCTGAAGCCGGTCCTGTGCTTCTTGACACTGCTTTTCTTGTTGTTGTATAAAAGTACTGCAAGCCGGTCCTGTTCTTTCTGTCTTCGATCTTCTCCTTCTTGTTTTTCTTTATGTCTTTGGTCTCTTCTTCTGTTTCAGAATTAGTTGGCGCTCATTCTGCATGTGTTTTGTTTTTGAAAAAGAAATTACTTGTGTTTTCGAATTATTTTGTTGTGTAAGTTACCTCTATTTGTCATTTAATGTAACATCGTCTTCGTCATTATACAAAAAAAAAAAATATTTTAAATGTTCAAAATATAAAAACATCTATGTTTATACAATTTTGACTTTACAATTTCTGAAGATGGAATTTATATAAAATTCCGAAACGTAAAAAAAAAATTGTTTTATTTTTCAACCTGACTGACTCCCAGTAAAACCGTCATTATTTCAAAAAGACAGTCAAGAAACCGCATCAAAACACTCATTTTTGATGTTATTGGACTAAAAATACATATGTGTAAAACTTATCTGAAGTTGAATAAAATTTGTAAAACGTATCTATACAAAGTAACTCATATCAATACCATGACCATTTATTGTATTTATCTAGAAATGTATCGATTTATCAAAAACTCGATTAACGTACTTCCTTTTTCTGATAAAAACTCGCTAAAACTATAGATCTGGTGTATATAATAAATTGTTGAATCTATAAAACCCAGAATATAGATTCAATACATTAAAAGATAAAATCAATTCTTGATTCTACTGGATTTATCAAAAACATTGTAGAACTTATCTAATATTATATGAAATTGGTAAAAGGCTTCTATCCGAATTTACTGTTATAAATCCAAAGAGAGTTTATTGGATTAATCCAAAACTGATTGTATCAATCCTTAAGTTATAAATAATAGTACATTTTGGACTACTAGGTAGCCACCAAATCCTCTTTTATAGAATATATAAAATCGTTTTATGTTTTATATCAAATTAATTCTTTCCGTGCCTGATGAAATTTTCTTGAAAATTAGGTACTTTATGGACTTTTTTCGATGTGGAAACCAGTAATAAAGTCACTAGATATTCTTGTATCACGATTTCCTAATGGCATTCTATAGGAGTTTGTAGAATATTCCAAAAAATCTATCTGTGAGCTTGTTTTTCGATGTCAAATCACTATTTAGCTCAAATTAATGCATCATGTCTCACTAATAATCCCACTTCCGACACCAAATTGTCACGGATTTCGGGGTTCACTAGAACTCACTTCACAAGCAGTAACCACTTTTAAACTAATTGACTTTATACAAAATTCACTTATCACTTATCGAAACGTACATGACAATTCTCGAATTAAAACTGACCTAAACCTAATATTCTCCGCACTATTTATAGCAGACAGTGTATTCGGGATTTAGCTAGCAAAACCTGGCGGGATTTATCTAGTAAAAATTAAGGGTCGAAAGAATCACCCCTCGCCATTTGCAGTTGGCGATCAGCGGTGATGCAGGATTGGACAGCTTAATCAAGGCTACCATCCCCTGTGGGGGTGTCATACCACGCATCCGCAAATCCTTGACGTGCAAGAAAGGGGACACTCACAGCTAGCGTAAATAGATTGTACATTGAAAAATAGATTTAAAAATTAACATAGCAGTTAACGAACATTGTTTTGTGGCCCAAGTCCGCAGCAAAAACAGAGTTGTCAAAAAACACGCGCACACGAAAAAAAACACAGTGAAAACACTGGTCATGTAATCATTTTTTGCAATGTTAGCGAAGACATCCGTTTTTTGTGACAATTACTATCCATAGGCGACCTGACCATAACAATTTTTGAACATCGGTTAATAGCACTTCTTACACATTTTTCCAAAAACAAGAAGCAGAGGAAACAGTCACAAACTCTGAACTTGTTCAACAGAGAGCTAAGTATACCTAAAATACTAACGCCGACGAAACTACCGAAAAGACTTCAAGAGAGGACATAATGATGAAAAAAAAATCTTTGCCTGACTGGCTAGCAAACGATTAACTGGATGGCAAGGAACTTCCAGTTTCAGTCCACCGGTAAAGGAATACTGGGATTTGTAATGGTTTGCGAGATGACTTAATCATTCGTAAATGGGAGAGTTCGGATGCGAAAAGTCTAGTCTATGATAGAATACCAGACCATCGTGCCTTGGGCCATAGTGCAGTGGATGCTACGTGAACTGCTCAGTAGTGGTGGTCACTTTGGAGTGAGAGATCGGTATAACTAGATAAAATTTCGTAGAGATGTTGAAGAATGATACAGAAGAAAAGATGCGACCTCTGTGCTTTGAAGAACTGAGACACGAACTCGAGGAAACATGAAGCAGTATTTGTCTGGTTCCACCATCCTGGTAGAAAATTGCAGTAGATATTGCGGGTCATTTTCCCACAAAAGATTCGGGGAATAAATACCTCATTAGGGTTGCTATGGACTAGTTTCAAAGTGGCCAGAAGTAGTTCCACATCCCGATCGAGAATTGGTGGTTGAAGTTGAAGCATCACCGGAGAACATATAACCAGACACGCAGTGCCGATGGAACTTGATACCGATCAGGAAAGGATAACGCACACCTAACATGGGATTTTTGGGCTCTATGAATTTTGCCCATTTTTTGATACCTATGTTGTAGAGGATTTAATTTTGAACAACCTTTAAATGGGACGAAATCTTGTAGGTATTACGGTCTTTGAGATATGAACGTTGAAAGATGAACTTGTTTGCAACTTTTTGTGTGGGGAGTATACGAAAAACTGGTGTTTATCAGTCAAAATTTTGACAGGTCGACATATTTCACGTCACTAACAAATGCCAACATAGGCTAAGGCCGGGACCGTACTGGCGCCAACATTGACCCCAGTGCGGTCCCGGCCTTAACCTAAGTTGACATTAATTTTTAAGTGATAAGTGATAAGTAATACCAACAAGATTTCGTCCCATTTAAAGGTTGTTCAGAATTAAATCCTGTACAACATATCAAAAAATGGGCAAAATGCAAAATCTATAGAGCCCAAAAATCCCATCTTAGGTGTGCGTTATCCTTTTAAGTCCTAAAAAAGATCTCAGCACAAATCAAATCAAATCAAATTTATTTGCTCAGTATAGTACAATATAGTTTACAAGAGGACCTTAACTCAGAATCATTTGT